AGGCGAAGACGAGACAAGAGCTGATCAAAGAACTAGAGTAATACATGAGTTTTTTTACACTACATGTAAAATGATCTAGGAAGTGCATGAGGAGTAGAAGGGGTGTAGGCATTTCTACCCGAAACAACGAAAGACAAGACACATGTAAGGGCATTCTACCTGAGTAAGCAATGTAAGCTTGCATTCACAAGAGCAGAAAGGACAATTAATAGCAGTTGGGATCTGTAAACAGCGAAATATCATGGCCGGGATAAACGATGCAAAATGTGTGGGAATTGCTTAAACTTCAAACTCCTTGATAACCAGCTCTTCACTGTCAGGAAGCGGAGCAAAATACTGATCGATCGCTTCCTCGGTTACTTCATCGATGGTTGCCGGCTTCCATGCCGGTTTATGATCCTTGTCAATGAGAACTGAAAATGGCACTACGATCACTAAAAACAACAAAATCACAAATCACTTCTTCTGAGTGAAATCACAACTTTGCTAAAAAAGAAATTTGATAGCAAACCTCTTGTAAAGTAATAGCAAAAGTTTGAAATTCAGATTTCCGGAGCCTCAACTTTCCCCTAGATTTTCCGTGCCCCGACTTTCGGACTGCGTCTTTTAAACGTTCACATCATTACATACAAGTAAAACAGTGTGAGGCGCATAAAATCTGTAAATCTGGTTCCCATTTACCCAAGGCCATACATCGAGATCTATGGGATCTAAAAGTTGTACCAAGGCTCTCTAAGCCATCAGAATGCCAGGAACTAACTCTCCAGAAGCTTATCTTTCGAGCAAAATCTAATAATCATATGCACCCAAACATACATACACAAGCATACACATACAGGCCTTTTCAGTATACGCCTACGCATTTGTACAAACGTAAAAAATAAGATAATCTCACGAACTTGCTCGACATCCCTCATGAAAATCATGATCTTTTACGAAACGTTGTGACAAACGATATTCCATTGTGAATACTTCCGGAAAACGCATTTTTGAGCCAAGTTGCAACTGTCGGAAAATCACTTTCAGTGATGTTGGGCTCTAAAACATAATGAACAGAACTAAAAGACGAATGCTGAATGCCTTGCCGTTTTGTATTAGATGAATCCCACACTTGAAAACGAATAGAAAAGGTCAGCTTCACTGAAACAATAAAAGGCAACTAACCGAACTATCAAAGTAGGCACGAGCGCAAAAAACACCGAAATTTTCGTCCAATTTAAGGAATTCTTTAGTTCCGCAGCATGAATTTTGAGGCTTTACGATCAATTTATTTAAGCGACCACTCACAAAATAATTTTAATTTCGCTTTAAGTTCTGCATCTCAGTAACAAAATTCAGTCCCTTAGATTTGTTTTGCGTTTCAGTTCTCTTTGCTCATCTCCCTTCTTGCCCTTACCTCCTCTGAAGTATGCATCTCCTGCCAGGACTTTTTTTTTTTTGCATGCTGCCTCTACTCTCCGTTCATCGTACCTATGATGCATACATATTTAGGATTCTTTCATGCAAAAACTAGAATTAAGGAATTAAATAAGGAAGTGAATGCTATAAATCGCGACAATGAAAAACCACTTACCATTTTGTTCATGATGCTGAGCTGCTTCTTACCAAAATCATCCTCATCATTTCGTAGCTTTTTGAAAACCGACTCAACCGTTGTGCCGCAAAAAATATAATCGATTTGTGCAAGGCGTTTTTCCAGAGTAAATTCGGGCATTTCACTCTCACTCATTTGATAAGTGCTCAAAATGTGCTCGATTTTTTGCGGAGAGAGCAACTTATTATCGGTATTTAGCAGCTCGTCCTCAAGATCTTTCAGTTTCTCGGAAGAAACCTAAATTAAGTAGTTGCTAAATTCGATTTCCGTGACAATATTTCAGAAAAATGTACAATAAAAAATATGCTCCATCAAAGGAAATTACTGGGGATTTTCCAGCCTTTCCAAAGCTGCAATCAAATGAAACACAGAAAATTATTCAGTCCAGTACACGCTATTCAAATCGATACATTAATACAACAAATCCATACGCATTAGTTTTTACAATTTTTGATATTAACACACAAATACACAGACACATACACACAAACACACACCTATACACAAACATACACATAAACATGCACAAATACAAACACACACACAGAAACATACACATGAACACACACACACAGACAAACATGCACAAATACAAACACACACACACAGAAACATACACACATACAAACCAACGCACATCCATACAAACTTACACACACAAACACACACGCACACACAAATACACGCACATACAAACACACACACACACACAGAAACTTACACACATACACAAACATACACAAAATACACACACACCTACACAAGACAAATGATCGATACGTTAACACTGTTGGCTTTCGCACATACACTGTTTTCAGTAGCTTTTTCCTACTTCTCCCCTTTTCCCGCAGCGTTGTAATTTTACAAAGGAATGCTTACGTAATGTGTTGCGAGACCCATATGATAGACGTCGGCTCCTTCACTTCGATACCCCGTCAGTGCCATGAACTGGCCCAAACTGTATGGCAATCGAGAAAGGAAAAATGAACCTAGAAAACCGTACGAGTTAGTACTTAGAATAATAAGGGGCGAAGAGTTAAAAAAAAAAAGAATTATTTATGTGGGAAAAGAGCTGCACCTCCAACATCTGGAAAAAGTCCGAGTGCAGCTTCGGGCATCGCTAATACTGTCCGTTCTGTTGCAATCCTGTATTTGCCATGAAGAGAGATACCGCAACCCTGGAAATAACAAATAAATTTGATTCTACATGCTAATGGGTAGCTTTGCTTAACTTTTATTAAGATTTTTCGCGTTCGCTTGTCTCTACCTTAGATTTATTATTTCCATTTTTATTTTATTGACTTTACAGGTACATCTGTCAGTTCAACATACGTAATGGTGGAGGTAATGTCTTATAAAATACACTTTCCATTTTTGCTTTAACCTTTTTATTTTATTTTAACTTTCCTTTTTCTTTTTTTAGCACACTGCATGCTACTTTCGCTGCAATCGTCAGACTGACGAGGTCCAGTTGCAGCAGGAATGTATGCGACTTGATGGACCGAAATATTCCCATTCAGGTTTTAATCTTATCCACATTTTCCTTTTTTATTTCCTTACATCTTACATAAACACATACCAACCAAAATTAAAATTAAAATGCTATTGCAGTGTGCCATGCCTGTCTACCCTCAGTCAAATAGAATTCAAACCGGGAAGTGTCGAATTTACCACAGTCGCAGTTTATTTACCATCTCATTTAATGCACAAAATAATGAAACCTAATTCTTATACAAAACTTGAAGTCAAGCGTGTATTTAGTCAAGTGTGGGGGGGCGACCAATGAGGGGCGTGCTACATCAAAAAGTATAAGCGGAACTCGCAAAAGCCCAGACTTGGGCTCAGTTCAAAACAGATAAGCCTCTGCTCATCATCCAATAGCTGTACAGGATTTTTAATCCAAAAAATACCCGGCACTTTTCTGTCTGAACTCAACTGATAAGTTAATTCCAGCTATTCTCTTCGGTTCTGAAAAGCAATAAATTGCGTATACTAACTCTCAAAATTATTCCCCCTCCCTCTTCTCCAGCTTTTAAAAGCGAATCAAATTGGCTCGGCCTTTGTTGCTGACAGCCCCTTCTTTCACAGGTTTTGATGAATAGTGGCACGTCCCAGAAGACGTAGTTCTGCTCATAGTTCT